TTGAGAGGTCTGCTGCCTTCCAGGAGCCAGGATTAGAGACATTACGACGAGGATGCCTAAACCGGTCCGCCCTACTGACCTCTACCCCATGATCCTCGTCTATGTGGGCACCAACAACACAGTGAGAAGTAGCCCCGGGAGAATCATGACCATGAGAGACTACAGGACCATGGGGGCAATGCTCAAGGAACTAGGAGCACAAATGGTCTTCTCCTCAATCCTCTCAGTTAAAGGCCATGGCCATTGAAGGGAGGAGTGCATCAAGGAAGTCAACCACAGGCTTAAAGATAGTGTAATCGTGTGGGTTTTGGACACTTTGACCTTGGTATGTAGCTGTTTAACTTCAGCTATCTACGTGTCAGGGACGATATTCATCTCACAACCAGAGGGAAGAAGCTCTTCGCTACAATAATCGCTGACTTGTTGAGGAGGGCTAGAAGCATGGGAAATAAACAAAAGGAACTGACACTCCTTCTGGTAGATAAGGAATTTGATTTTATTGGGTTGACAGAGACCTGGTGGGATGACACATATGACTGGGCACTGACTATTGAAGGCTATACACTTTACAGGAAGAACTGGGTTGGGGAGAAGGGAGAAGATGTGGCCCTCTATGTGAAAAAGTGGTACCCCTCCCTGAAGGTCATGTTTGACAGCAGGGAAGGGTCCCTTGAGACCCTCTGGGGGATCAGAAGAGGGAGACCTGATGGTAGGAGTCCACTACAGGTCTCCCTCCCAAGAAGAAGAGAACAATCAGGGATTCTCCAGAGAACTGACTGAGGCAGCTCACACTAGAGATATGATTGTCATGGGTGACTTCAACTACCCTGACATCTGTTGGGAGGACCATTCCGCCACCTCCAACAGGTCAGTCAACTTCTTGGCAACAACAGACTATCTGTTCCTGACATAGGACCTAATAGGGGTAAAGCCACTCTGGATTTAGTACTGACCAAAGGGGAGGACATGATAGGCAACCTGAGGATTGGTCATACTCTGGGCGACAGTGATCACAACTTGATTAGGTTCACCATCCACCATAAGACTGGGAAATCAAACAGCAGAAGAGAAGTCCTAGATTTCAGAAAGGCAAACTTTGCCAAGTTTAGCCTCAGGAGGCTAACTGGACAGGCCCTCTGCAACCAGCAGAGGACTTGGGAGTTCAGGAACAGTGGTGCTTCCTTAAGAAGACAATTTTCACTGCCCAAAAACAGGCCATCCCCACACAGACAAAAAGCAGGAAAGGAGCCAAGAGACCCACTCGGCTCAACAGGGATGTTAGGGAACTATTGAAAAAGAAAGAAGACACATACAAGCAATGGAAGAATGGTTCAGCAACTAGAGAGGGATACACCCGTATTGCTAGGGCCCACAGATACGAGACATGAAAAGCCAAGGCAAGTGTGGAGATCAAGCTGGCAACTGGAATAAAGGATAACAAAAAGTCCTTTTATAGATACATAGAGAGCAAGGAAAAAAAGATTGGGATCCACTGTGGGACCCCTACTGAATACTCAGGGGCAGCCCACAGTCAATCCCCATCAAAAGGCAGAACTCCTAAATACCTACTTCACATCACTATTCCTCAAAACACATGGGGGCTGTTTACTCGATCAGAGGCCCAGGGAATATGGGAACAAAGTACATGAAATCAATCCCAAACAGGTGAGGGATCTTCTACAACCCATGGACATTTTAAAGTCCACCGGGCCAGTTGACCTGCATCCGAGAGTCCTGAAAGAACTGGTTGAGTTTATATCAGTGCCACTGGCAAAGTTGTTCAAAGAGTCACAGAACTTAGGAGTGGTCACTGACAAATGGAAGATGGCCAACGTGGTGCCCATCCTCAAGAAAGGGAAGAGGGATAACCCTGCAAACTACAGACCGATCAGCCTGACCTCAGTCCTGGGTAAAATTTTTCAAAAATTTGTTAAGGACACCATCAATTACAAGATGGTAAGTGAGGGGGTGTTAAGAAGCAACCAGCACGGCTTTGTTGAGGGTAGATCATGCCTGACAAACCTGGTGATCTTCTAAAACCAGGTAACTAAACATCTGGACAAGGGGCATGAGGTCAATGTCATTTACTTAGACTTCAGTAAAGCCTTTGATTCGGTCTTGCATGAAATTCTCTCAACCAAACTGGACAGTACTGGACTGGACCAGCCTATGGTGAGGTGGGTGGACAACTGGCTTAGAAGCTGATTCCAGAGGGTTGTAATTGATGGGATGGTTTCATCCTGGGGGCCGTCTGTAGTGGTGTCCCCCAGGGATTGGTGCTTGGACCCGTGCTCTTTAACATATTTATTAATGACCTAGATGAGGGGCCAGAAAGCTCAATTATCAAATTCACAGACGATACCAAGTTGTGAGGAAATGCGGACACATCAGAAGGTAGGGCAAAGATCCAGGACAACCCTGACAGACTGGATTTACAGGCAGAATGCAATCAGATGAGGTTTAACAGGGAGAAGTGCAAGGTCCTTCACCTGGGTAGGAAGAAGCTTCACTATAACTACACAATGGGTCGTGGTCCACTGGCTGGCACAGCATCTGAACAGGACCTGGGGGTCACGACAGACTGGAAGATGAGCATGAGCGAATAATGCAATGAGTTGCCAGAAAGGCAAACGGAACTCTGGTGTGCATCAGCCATTGTGTGGCCAACAGATCCAGGGAGGTGCTTCTCCCTCTCTGTTCAGCATTGGTGAGGCCACAGCCAGAGTACTATGTCCAATTCTGGGCTCTGCACTTCAAGAAGGATGTGGATAAGCTTGAGAGGGCACAAACAAGGGCCACCCATATGATTAGAGGCGAGGAGGATAGGCCCTATGAAGACTCTGGGGACTAGGCCTGCTCAGTCCGAGTAAGAGAAGGCTGAGAGGTGACTTGATAGCCACCTACAAATACATCGGGGTGAGCATCAAGATCTAGGGGAGCAACTCTCTTCAGGAAAGCACCTCAAGGGAGGACAGGATCAATGGGCATAAGCTAACAGAAAGTAATTTCAGGCTGGCCATGAGGAAAAAGTTTTTCTTTGAAAGGGTCATCAGAATCTGGAACACACTCCTAGCAGAGCTGGTGCAGTCACCCTCCTTGGAGGTGTTCAAGATGAGACTGGACAAACACCTTATTGAGCTTGTCTGAGACCAATAACTTCTTGCCCATGGCAGGGGACTGGACTTGATGATCTTGTAGATCCCTTCCAGTCCTATGATTCTGTGATCCTTTGCTTGAGGCTATTGAGCCAGATGTCTATCCACCTCATAGTAATTTTGTCTAGTTCACATTTCTCCAATTTATGAAAAGGTCATGTGCAACTCTGGCTGCATAGACGTGATCTGGGAGAATTCTATGGGTTTTCCTGGTAGAAAAACTTACCCAGAGACCCCTCAACAGACAGAGGAGCACAGAGCTTGCTGTGCTGATGCTGCACAGCCAGGGCACATATCTCAGTGTGCTCTGTAGGCTCCTGCAGTCTGCCTGGAAACATATGGCAGCAGTGAACATGGCAGCCGTGACCGGCTGATCCAGACTGCTGAGGGTCAGCTTGTCTCTCTCTGCAGCAAAATATGTGGATTATGAAGTTCCACTTCCTGCTCAGCTGCAGGAGTAGAGACTAGCCTGAGTGAAACACTGTCTCCTGCGGGGGGAGGGGGGTGTGCATCTTGAGATGCTGTGGTTTCTTTCAGAAGGAAGCATGTAGAGATATTCACTATCCCAGTCCTGAGACTTCTCTGGATGGTCCTGCAGATTTGTTAGTTTCCCTCATACAGGAGTGTCATACATGGCAGTGCCCACAAATATTTTTGATCTGTTTTATGAAAGTGACTGGATTGGTAGTTAATAGTATTCCTTTGAGCTGAGATCGGGTAAATCCAGTCAAGTGGATACAATATGTCTTTGTGTAATAAGCAAGAGACAACCCAAGAGAGGGCATACGATCTAGGTCATGCTGTACAAATTCTACTTGCACAGTTTGCTTGCATGCTGGATGATTCATCAACTTATGAGCATTAAGTAGAAGTAAATTTATGAAGTAAGGGCAAACATGTAGTTCTTCAACTTTGCCTTTACAAACTGCTTTCTTTGGCTATTACAGCTTTTATTTTGAAACACAACTCTATATTAAAAAAACCCCAAACCAAGCCTCAGGAGTCCAAAACAGGAAAGGTTCTTTAACTCTAAAGTTACTGTAAGAAGATGTCTTTTATTTTAACAAAATCTGAGACGCACTACCTCCTGAAAATCCTAAGCTGTTGACTTCTTGCTTTCTCCTGCAGAATGGGTAACATCACAACTACCATAAACAAAGTTTTCCCATTAATTCCCTTTGTTATATCGTTGAAGTCACTCACTCCTGCCACAGAAACCAGGAAGCCTGATGCATACATAGGTTGCTCAGAAGTTTAAGGAGATAGTTTTCTTAAACAGTAGCGGTAACATTCTTAAACATAATGGTGTACAGTATCCCTCTTTTGAAATTTAACAAAGGGACCTTTTTTGTAAACCTTTTGCAGGTTACCTTTAAAGTTAGGAAGAAAGCAACCCTTTTTAGAACAAATCTCCTACAGTTCAAATCTTTATTTCATAAGACCAGCCCTGGTTTGCCAGTGGGCCTACCACTTCATTGTGATGTATTGAAGAAGAAAAGCATTGTTTTTACCTTATGAGAACGAGCCTGTCCTTTTCAGATGGATGATCATCCAGCCACTGGGAATAACGGGCAACAGACCACTCTGCTCTCTGATGCACAGAAACATGAACAAAAAGCAATTAAACTACATGCTATAATGTCAAACACATACATACTATTTTCAGGAACAAAACTCAAATAAATTAAAGCCAAGTGAAGCTGGTTCATTAGTAGATCTAATCAGGAAACAGTTTCCCTGACCAGCACACCTTTTCATAGACTTCCCTAGTCTGCATAAAGATAAAAGCAAAAAACCCAACACAGAGAAGCAGGAGACCCCAGAATGGTCAATAACCCTGGGAGGGTAATCCTCTAGGATGAGAGAGAGACATTAAAATTTCCAGCTCTGTTCAGACTAAGTTCAGGGACTTGAAACTGGATCTTCCATATCCCAGGTAAGCATCCTGCTTAAAATACATTCATGCTATTGGCTACCATGTATGTGCGTACGGATGCATATGCATGAGCAGTCTCCCCCACTTTATCACAGTGTAAGCTGTTTACGTGCATAGTGGAGAAGTACATAATTCACTTAACTGGATAACAAAGCAGGCTGCAATTTCCTACCCCCGGCTTAAACTGTAAGAAGCACTGGTTATCTCAATATCAGTTAAGTGCAGAAGCACTTAAGTGCACCCATTTTTCAGCCGCACTGTTTGCTTTCTAACTACCTGCACTCTAGTTAACTGCACCGGAAGGAAGGGGAAGCAGCTGTCATAGTGTTGGTACTAGAGGACTAAAATGCAAGCACCTTGTCAGTTTCACAGTTGCTATTTTTAACAGCCCTGAAACCGAGTAGCTCCCCTTATTTTCAAGGTTTCTAACAGCATAGTTGAAACCAACTACAAAAAGTCTTGAAATGGAGGAGCACTGAAGTGCTAATCCCATGCCACTGAGGGCTCTGTACACTTAACCAGCTTGGTTTACATTTTAACTTTCAATATGTGCATAATTCAGGTCAGTGCAGAGGCTTTTATCAGTCTTGTTATGTGCTTAAACAGAGTATGCTGTATTAATAAATAAATACATACTCATTGTGTGCACGCACGCATGGTGAGGGGGATAACTGTCCACTGTACAGAGGTGTGCCTGACTACAGACTAGAAGCCTTTAACAAAATAAACACCACAATATTTTTCACAGAGATATTTTAAATTAAGGACCATTAGCAGTAAAAGAAGCAAACAGGGGAACACCTACATTTGGCAGACAGAATAAAAGGCAACTCTTGACCAGGGCTGGCCTTAGGGAAAATGGCGCCCCGGGGTATATTTTGGCACCCTCACTTTGAGTTAAAGTCTGTAGTAGTATTAGCAAAAGTTTTAGAAATAAAGCCCAGGGGGAACTGCTGGGCAGGACTGGGAGACTTGTTTCCCCACAACATCTCTCGGTGGTCAATTGGGGCAAGGGGAGAAAAGTGGGAGTGGGCTCTTTTTTTAGCAGCCCCCAGGTGAAGAATTTGGTGAGGAGCACTAGGCAGGTGCCCATGATGATAAGCAGCAGGAACACAACGAGCAGATGCTACTGGTTTATGCAGCAGCAGGACTCGTAGAGCCAGTTTCAGGTGCTGGGCAGCAGACGCTGCTCACAGCCTGCCTGTTCCACCCTGTCCATCAGGGAGTGATGCCTCCTTATAATTGCTGACCTCTGCAGCTGGCTAACTTCCACCACCCTCTCTCCAAGTCAGCAGTGCTGCTGCAAGCAAAGGCAGGCGGGCAAGAGCATGGGATGAAGTCTAGCAGGGAGGCAGTGGTAGCAGGGGGGTGGGGGGGGGGTGACCCCTGACCATGGCACTATGGATGTTTGACCACACTGCCCACCCATAAGGCCAGCCCTGCTCTTGACTACAGGCAGCCCTCAGACTTACGACCCAACTGGTTCCTGAAAACTGCATCTTAAATTGAAACACTGTAACTTGGAACCAATTTTCTCATAAGAAACAATGTTGTAAATGGGGGATAGGTTCTTGAACCAAAGCCCAACACCCTATTTTTTACCAAAAATACCCCAGAATTTTGTACTTGATCAATTATAGATGAGTAATATAGCTACATTAATGTATTTATATTGTAAATAGCAATCATATTGATTTGGAAGGACTTCTTTGAGGTGACTTTGCTGCACTTTTTGAAGGGCTCTTGGTTGGAGTCTTCTCAGGAGTCTTGGTTGCTTCCTTAAAGAAAGTGTCCAAGGAAGTTTGGACAGATGTTCTCCAGGGCGGTGAGCGATACAGTGAACTTGTCGCATTGGATCAAGCATTGTAAAGTCAAAACTGGCATTGTAAAGTTGAAACAGGGTGTCAATTTATAAACATTGTAAGTGCAAAACGTTGTAACTTGAAACGTTGTAAGTCGAAGACTGCCTGTATTTCAATACAACTTATCCTCAGGACACCTATTTTTTTTACTTCTATAACTAGCCAAAATTTGAATCAATGGCCACAAAACAAATAAAACAAAACCAACAAGCCATAACCCAAACATGGGTTCAAACACTTTTGACTAAATGAATTAAAAAGGACAGCAGTATTCACCTACTCATGGAATATTTTAAAAAGGTAGGGAGGGACTTAAACTGATTACCTGGAATGGTGATTTCAACTCAGGTGGTGCCCTTGTAAATAAGAATTGAAGAATCAGGCTGAACGGAATTATATCTCCCACAGCTGGGCTACTGGCAATATGTTCACTAGTCTGGAAAAGCAGTGGTCTGGAAAAAAGTAAGTTACATAAAAGAACTTTGAAAGGAAGGAAAAGGGTGTAGCTGAGAATATTGTATGTATTGTGCCAATACTGTTACACCTTTTAGAAATGAAAAGTATTTCCTCCTGTGCACCTCACTAGTTTGCCAATTTACAGCTTAACCTCCTAATGCAATATTTGTAGGTGATAATTTGTACAAGAAGCTTGTTATTTTAATTACACAACCTACCAACACTGTAACAGAGCACAAGTTCTATATTGTTATGAAAATGCAGTATGACTACACAGTTCATTATCATAATAACTAACACTGAAAACAATGCAAAAAGGTACAATTTAGCTGACACTAGCATGACAAAATTCACCAAATCATAGTTATGGTATGGTTATAAAAGGAAAAATACTAAGTTGTTGCTAATTTGCACGTGAAGTTGCCAGAAGGTTTTTAATTAGAATTACAAGTAGTGCAAAGCAGGATTTTACTTTAAAATTACAATTTGGTTACACTAGTTATTGCTCGAGATATCGTGAGTGCAGCTTACCTGAATGACCTCAGCAGTCTGTAAGACTTCCCCAAGTCAGATACTCTCCTGCAGAGCGGAGCGACTGCTAACTCCATCTGGAAAATCCAAAGATTGTTACTTGAATCAAAGTGCCCCAAGATGCAAAGCTCTGGGCCCAGCCAGTGGGCCTTTACATGATAATGACAGACAGCATGCCAGGTCAGCATCTTATCACCACCACATTTGGAAGAGAAGAATTCTCACCAAAGGGCAAGCTGACTGGGCCAAGGCTTTTTTGCCTTCTTTTGTGCAATACCCCAAAGATCAGTGATTATTGGTGGCTCACAACTAAGAACATGACAGAATACAATGAGCTCCCAAGAGACTATCCTGGGTGCACTGTTTGTCTTGGGCCATTTCATCTTTACCAGTGAGTTTCCTGGTCAGTAGTTATATCGGTATCCCAAACTCTAGACAGATTAGGAAGAAAAAGTATCTAGATAGACTTTAGTGACACTACTGATAGGACCTTAGTGTTAAAACCAGTATCACAGACATGTTACTAGTATGGCTGAACATTAGGGGTGTGTGAAGCTGGCCATATTTGATTTGGATTTGGATTCGGCCCAATTTGGGGGACAGCGATTCAATTAGTTGATTCAGATCACTGTCCCGATTTGATTCAGCCGAATCTGATGATTTGATGCCAATTCAGAGAATCACTGATTCAGCCATAGACACAGCTTTAAATGTTTTTTCTTCATATCTCGATGTATCAGGTGCGGCTTGTGAATGCTGAGGTGGTGGGGCAGATGGAGTGTCCCACACTAGTGTGGGGACCTCCTGTGTGCTCGGCAGTGGACCCGGAAGTACTTCCCGTCCACTTCCAGGTCTGCTGCCGAGCACGCGGGGGACCCCCTCCCCCTCTACCCCCACAGCTTGGCAATTGGCCATGGGGGGATCCTGGATGCACCCCAGACCCAGGAGGCAGCAGTCGCCAAGCTGGGGGGGCCGGGCCCCCACGCGCTCTACAGCAGACCCGGAAGTGGACCGGCAGTGCTTCTGGTCCACTTCTGAGTCCATTGCTGAGTGTACTGGGGACGCTCCATCTGCCCATCATCTCAGCATTCATGAGCCGCCTGGTACCTTGACATATGTAGAAAAAGCATTTAAAGCTGTGTCTATGTCCGAATCATCAGATCTCTCCGAATCAATTTGGAGAGTTCTGATTCAATTCGGAGAGATTAAAGGGTCTCCTGATTTGATTCAGATTTGGAGATTCAGCCACTGAATCAGGCTGAATCTCCACCAAATTGAATCAGTGACCGAAACCTCACACAGTCCTACTGAACATCCCTCTGGGTAGAAGAGCTGACAAAACAGCCTTCCCCAAAATACAAGGGCACAAAGTCTACATATACTAGAAGATGACAGCTGAGATTTATTGTCACTGGGTTACTTAAAGGCATAGTCACATCTAAGAGTGATACCTTCTAACTCAAAGATCTGCTCTCTGGATTCTGAGTGATAGCTGCTGGGCTCAGTGACAAAATTGGGGATTGCTAGAGAGTGTTTTTTGTTTTTCACAGAGCACAGAACCCCAAGTGCCAGGGACCGAATCCTGATTCAAGGTGAGGTGTATGACAAAAAACAATTTCAACTTTCAGATCCCATGTAGAGTTATTGGGGGGAGGGTAATAGAAACTGAAAAATCATACTTTATAAAGGAAGCTGAGAAAATGTAAAAGTCATTAGAACACAGACATGAAATCCCTTAATACCATTATCTCACTACATCATCACTTAAATGCCCACCAGTATTATATATTTCACTAATAATGAACAAATAAACAAACAGTGGCTATGGCTTTTAGACACATGGCAAGTCTTTCCCATTCCAGAAGGTGGCACTCAACAATAGTGGGATAGGAACTTTACTCTACATGTACATTTTGAATCATTGATTTAAAAAACATCTTTGACATTACTTATGTACTTAACTTAGTGGAGTAACTAGGGCAGGGCAAACAGAAAAACTACCCAGGTGCCAACTGGGAGAGGGAGTGGCAAAAAAAGTAGCTGCTGCCAGCACTTGCATGATCAGAATTGTGATCACAGCAGCAACCAGAAGTTGCTGCTGCCCCTGTAGCCCAGATGCTGATGGTTCAAACTCTGGTTGGTTGAGGCTTTCTATTTCTATATACTGCATAATAACACTAAATTTCAAAGGCACAAAAATGAATAAGTAGCTGGAAGAGAAGACACTTTGAAATCCTCTTGACATTTTTATAACATTATTGAACTCACTCCACTGTATCTGTAGCAGGATGATATTTATAGCAAAGGACTTTTAACATCGTTATTCTCTCCGATAATATAACCTTTTTTTCACAAATAAAACTGCTAGATCACATGCTGACACAGAGATTTCACAAATCACATTTAACTGTATATGTGGGATTCTTAGTTACTGTGTGCATACAAGAACAAAGTGGGTATGGCCACCTGTGTTGTCATACTCTTAGACTGGTTCATTTCTCACCCCTCAATATGATAAACCAGCAAAGTAGCAGTGGTAGAGGGACAGTAAAGTGGTAATTAGGAGATTTTCAAAGGCCCAGATGGCAATGAAGCATCTAACACCCACTGAACGTTAACAGGAACTAAGAGTGAGATTTTCTCATTGCTTCTTTTCAGGTGTTGGCTGGAAGTAAATGACTTCCAATAGGAGGTAGGTGCTGAAATCCATTTAGTGCTTTATAAAATTCCAAACTAGTCACCTAACTACTACTTGGACCACTGAAAATCAAGGCATGAGTACAAATTGCTCTCTCTGAGGAGGAGAGAGACACAACCTAGGAAAAGACCAGACAGGATGTTACTTAACAATTTTTAAAGGATTTCTTCCCCCAAAAGTAGATATGATTAAGTGGGTAAGATTTTAGTTGAACTTTTGTTTTCACAAAACTCAGCCGAAGATACTAATTCACTAAAACAAATGGCAATAATCTATATGACCAATAGCTTAAGAATGTCTTTAACTCCACATTTTTGGTCTTAAGTATGCAAAAGAGCATGATTTACTTTAGAATACTCTGTTCTTAAACTCCAACCTTTATTCATTCTAGGAAATTATGAGTATTGCCAGAACTATATAAATTTAAAGGAAGCAGATGGCTGATTCGTGAAACAGTAGGTGCCAAATAAAAAATGTTTTGTGAGTTTGGAAGTCTATACCCTCTAGAATGAGTCATGAAAAGTGGGAATGAGTGAGGCTAATGTGGTAAGAACATACTTGAACAATATAAACTCAGATCTCCAACACTACTAGGTTGTGTACTGTAACTTGATGTAGTCAGTCAACAGCTACAATTCAAGTATAATTAAGATTGTTTCTTTTATTTGAGCATGTGCTTTATTTGACTGAATTAGATCGGGGTGCTTAACCTTTGGCCCATAGAGCCATAGATATCTGACCCACAGGGTTCCCCATGGATCGGGAAATTTGGCGGCAGGGAGCAGTGGCAATAAATATGACCACCCTCTCTTGCTGCCAAATTCCCAAGCCCCACACAGGGGGAGCAGTGGCAAGAGCTGCTGCCTTCGCCGTGGGAACAGTTGAAATGAATGTGCATCTATGGCCTAAAGATATTAAGAGATGTGTTGAATGCAAGTCATGGGAAGTGATCCTTCTTATCTACTGAGTCCTAAGGCCTTTCCTGGAGTATTGTTTTGGGCACCAGATTTCAAGAAAGACATGAACAAACTGGAAAGGGCACAGTGGAGAACAAAAAACAAGATCTAGAAAACATGACATATGAGGAAGGATTAGAAGAACTATTTAGTCTCCAGAGGACAAGACTGGGGAGTGGGGAATTTGATAACAGCCAGCAAATAAAAATCTGCTGTTATAAAGAGGATGGTGATCAGCTATTCTACATGCCCTCAGGGAACAGAAGTAGAAGCAAGGAAAATTTTGGCTGGATATTAGGAAGAACCTTCTTTTATTTTTTTCCCTCAGGATCGCAAATCTGGTTGATCATAAATATAGATCTGCAGTTGGGATGAAAATTGTTGAGAGTGGGCTGTCTTTAAAACTCATGGTAGGTGAGAAGTAGAAGAGATGTTTTTCCCCTTTAATTAGGTACCAAACAAACATTTTGTACCTATGGAGGTTGGATCCATTCTTGTGGCTATATTAGCAAAAGATTTTGGGATTTCTTGGAATAGAAATTTGTCCTACAGGAATGCCGGCCTTGAACGCTGCGGGCACTTAACAGGAGTATTCTGAAAGTGACTAATGTCCAGGGGTGGAATAACACCGCCCACTGCCTCCCATCCCTTTCTCCTTTGTCCAATACCCTGTGCTTTTGTGGGCTGGGTTTTTTAATACATTTCATTCAATGCAGTTACAGAATATAAGTGTTATTGTGTTACAGTGCATTTAATGAAGCTACAGCCTCCTGGCCAATTTCTATATATAACTTTATGTCTGTTCATTGTCACATCAGCCTTCACTAAACATTAAAGCCTCAGAAAATCTTTTTCCTATTTTTCTCTCATGTGACCCTGTTGTACCCCTTGGCTAGCTGATCAATTATTTGCTGAGCTATTTACTGACTAGCCATATTGTGAATAACTGCCTCTCATGATTGTCTTGTCTAACCAGATTATGTTCAGCAATCCAAGGATGAAGTTGATATCTATTCCCATACACTGCATACACATAAGGCACATATACTGCAAAGCACTTTTTAAAAAAAGTTCCATGATGAAGTTATTGTTCACTGGCTATTACAGCATCTTTTAAAATCACCTTTTACTAAAAGTCTATGTTTTTCTAGCTACAAGATCTTAACAAGATTTTTTTTGTAGTTGTTAGCAATTATTTTTTCCTGGCCAAAAAGAATTCCAAGTTTTCAAACATTAATTCAGAAATGCTTTTCTCTAGCTCTTCGGCATCACAGAATCTTAAAGCAAATATTAGTAGGGAAGCAGTGGGACTCTCAATTGTTATATGAAAAAGTTGACCCTGAAGGGATGTAGAATTTGACTTCTCTACCATACAAGGATTCCAAAATGATAGGTGTTTAAAATAAATTTTCAGCTGTGAAGT